CTTGATGATGGTCCTGATGTTGGACGTCCACTTCAGGTCCTGGGAGATAGTGGAGCCCAGGAACTTGTAGGACTTTACTGCTGATACAGTGCTGCCAAGTATGGTGAGGGGGGGTAAGGTGGGAGGGCTCTTCCTGAAGTCCACTGTCATCTCCACTGTTTTAGGCGTGCTCTCCACAGGTGCTCTATGGACTCATTGCTGGCCACTTCAGAACTCTCCAGCTCATTGTCTAAAACCATTTCTGGTTCTTTCTGACACTGGGCTCTACATTGTGTCCCATAATTCATTGGTAGTCTTCAGATTTCATAATGCCATACACACAGTCAAGAAATCCAGAGGCTGAACAGCAAAACAACCCTAAAACATCAGTGAACCTCCTCTGTGTTTGACTGTAGGGACCGTGTTTTTCTTTTAAGGCCTCATTCTTGACAATGTTGTGCACTGTGGATACAGGAACAGCCAAATCTCTGGAGATGGACTTGCAGCCTTGAGACTGTCCAGGCTTTTCCACTATTGTGGTTCTCAAATCCTCAGACAATTCTTTGCTCTTCTTTCTTTTCTCCATGCTCAGTGTGGTCCACATGACAAAGGTTGAGTCAACTTTCCTCCATTTTAACTGGTTGCAAGTGTGATTTCTGTATTGCCAGCACCTGTTGATTGCTGCAGGTGAGTTTCATTACAAATTAAATTGTTTCTGCTTTTTGTGTTGTTCCAATGCAAATAAAAGAAATAAACATAAGAATTCCAAAGAATTTGTGATTTCATGAGTTTTCTGGGAGAAGTAGTGAATTATCTGAAAGAAATGCAGGGGAGTCAATATTTTTGGCCACGACTATACATGTCCATCCACAAGTGCATGGAAAAGAATTGCTGTGCAGTTGTGAGCTTCGCTTTTGATGCCACCTTTTGAATCAGAATCAGAATCAGAATCAGCTTTATTGGCCAGGTTTGTCGGACACACAAGGAATTTGACTCTGGTACATCGGCTCTCAATGTGCATGTACATATCGCCTTGCAAGGGGCAAGTAAACAGTAAACCAACATAAGGCTGTGTAATATAACAAAATAATCAGTATTAACAAGCAACAAACAGTGTAAACAATGCAAAATAAGTAGTATAAGCAGCAAAATAAGCAGTATAAACAGGCAGTAAACAATGCAGACAGACAAGGAATGCTCATTGTGAAACGAGATAAATAGGAACAAAGAAAGAAGTGTTCACCACTGACTGCATAAAGGTAGTTCTGTTGTGCTACTCATTTAGTTTATTTTAATCACTTACTGTGAATTAATCAAATTGCTCACTGTAAGAAGCTTCCTTTCTTTAAACAAAATCATTAGGCAAACTCAGGAAAGCGGAGACAAATCAACAAATGAGTGGCCGAATTTCCTCTCCTGCCTGCTCCCCTGTTCTCCTTCCCTGTTTCCTCTACTGAATCCTTCCTCATTTCCATCATTTCTTCTCTCTTCACCTCCTCAGCCAATGAACTGACAGTAGGGAAGGTTTATGCAGCCCTCATGATCTTTGACTACTACAAGCAGAATCGGGCGAGGAGGCTGCAGCTGCTGCAGCAGCAGCAGCAGAATCCATCAGGCTCCCAGGTATAACATCCACAACACACATGCTTGCACATTTCACACAGACACACACACAGACGTGCAGTGAAGCACACACATCACATTGGATGCAGTAGTGCAGACCTGTATGCATGCACCAATATACCATTATGCTTGTACAAACTGATACACACTTTGACTGTCTGCCTGCATGCATACACACATCCAAAGAAGGGCGTTTGTATCCACTAGCCATTCATTGGTGGGTTACAAAATTAATCAACTGATTTCCCAAGTTGAAATTTTCATTTTAAAAGCACCCACTGATTGGTTACCTGCTAAAGGAGCTTGTATTAAAGGCACACTTACCAGCCACAGTCAAAGAGAAATCTGCATTTGGCTGCTGGTATTTGCAACCTTGCACATCCACTGTACAGGCGCATGGTTTTTTAATGCACACACAAACAGATACACACTGATGTACTTCATGTAAGCATGACTGTAAGAAATGAATATTCTGGCCCAGGTCTCCACATCTGGGAGCCCTCACTGTTACAGTAGACCTGGGTCCAACAATATTCTGCCTGCTGCCTCTGAATGTCTTCAGCATGTTGCCATCCGTCTTTCCTCTACAGTGCAAGGTCGGGGCTTTGTTTAAGCCATTGCTGCCTCTGACTCACATGCAGGAGAAAGATCTGCCTATGATGCTAAACAGTGTGGAGCCTCCCAGCATGCTTCAGCCCCAGCCCAAATCCCATGCCAAGTCCCAGCAACAGACCAGACCTAGCCCCAACTCCCTCAACAATGGAGGCACACTGTAAGTTCAATGCTTCAGGAACTAAAACTTACCGTAAGTTACCACTGCAAGACTAAAACTCACAGTTGGGTCTGCTACATCCAGAGCGTCAGCCAGGTATGGCTTTATACATCAACACTTTACATCGAGGTTTCAGTAGGTTTAGGTCTGCAACCAACATACCATATAAAAGTAAGGACTGAGGACTAGATTTGCTAAGGAAAGTTTCATTAGGTTTGCAGTGTGCATTTATTTACTGATGCTGATACTGACCTCCGCACTGTGAGTAAATGTAGTTTAACAGTGGGATGTTTTTTTCCACACTCCGGGCGGGGGGTTATAATGCCAGCTAGGTTATCCAGATATTTTGGTTGGTGGATTAGAAAAGCTGGATTCAAGTCATCCAAGATAAGGGCATGCTCTCGAGGTCAGTGACTAGACCATATACTGTATATTGACCACTGAAACCATGATCAGTTGGCTTCTCATTAGCTGGATGCAGTTGTCTAGGGAGAGAGAGCTGGTTGGTAAATGATGCTGTTGGCCATCTTCTTTGTTGAGTGATGGTTAATTCAACAAATGCCAGGGACTCTCTACCGGTCATTCAGAGAATAAGAAGATTTTTGCATGAGAAGTCAAAAAGTCTACCACAGGTTCATCTGTAGATGTCCTGCCACCCAGCTGATTGAAAAACCTCGCAGGTGGGGGCAGATTGTAGAACTAATTGGAAAACGTAACACATGGTAGCATAGTGTGAAGACAGAGTGTGTACAGTGCTAAAAGGAGTTTGAAACAGGTTGCTTTCACTGCCTCATTCACTAGAAATAATACTTGCAGAACAATGAGTATCAATTACTGTACATTAGTGGTGCAGCTTGTATCACTATTGAATAGAAATTTAAGTTTTCATGAAGAACCATGAGAGAGTGCTTGCACACAGTATGAAAAGAGCACTAACACATTTCAGTACTGTGTTATATGGAATTAAATTATCATTAGCAAGTTGTGTAAAAGTTTGACTTGTAAAATTTACACTGTGTTATGTTAGTATTATGCTGAGCTGTCACTGCTGCAACACACAGGCCAGGTCATGATCACAGCATCAAGGCATCATCTTCCTGGGTGATGGAGAAACCCAAGGAAGTGCCCCGAGCTAAGACTAAAAGAACCACGTCCAGGGGCCCGTCAGAGGACAAACCAGACACTGCTGCCATCGAGGTACTGTAGACAGGCACATGTCCAGTGCTGTGTTATATGAAACTATACTGATGTTCTGATCTGTCTGCACCTTTTAAATTGCTGTCTGATGTCAACATCCACAGCCATAATTAACAAGTGTTTAACACAAAGACTGTGTTCATTCATTCATTATTGAAGTCGCTTCTGTTTTGCATTTTATGAATCGCTGATAAGGTTTGTCAATAAGACTGAACACGTCATACAGAACACAGTTGTTTCATATTAAAAGCTTCCAGTAGGTCAAAGAGTGTAAAACCTCCCATTATTTGCAAATGCTAAATGGGCTTGTACTTTTATAGTGTTTTTAAAGTGCTTTCCTATATTCTGTCAATTCTCCCAACTCATGCAGTCACTCACACTAAAGGTGGCAATGCTGCCATATAGTCATTTACACACACACACACCCCAATGAGCATGATGTGAATGAAAACAAGATTATTGTTAGAGAACAAAAGTGAGAGCAGCAGAGTCTTGAGTGTGACATGTCTGACTGTTGCAGTCTGCTCTGCCCTTTATTTGTTCATGATGGCTTTTATTTGCGGCATGACTATTGATGTTTGTGTGAACATTACAGTAAGTTTGCTTCATGTAGTTTGGAGTGTGATCATAGGGTTCATGTCATGCATCTGCCGAAGAATAATGTTGAGTGTTAATGGGCCTGTGTGTGTGTCCAGGAGTCAGTGGAGATGAGGAAGATGGAGCCCAGTGCCAGCAGTACACTCCCAGTCCCTGGCTTAGGTCTGGAGAACCAGGGTAGAGCTGCTTCTATGCCTCGACTCAATGCCGAGCTGCAGGTAATGCCTCAGCTTCGTCACATGTGTTCATTTTCAAACTGATTTTGACTTTGTTTTAGTGCATTGTGTGTTTTCCATGTGATACTGTATAATAGTGCAACAGGTCAAGAATCTAATTCAAAGAGATCATATGGAGGATACTGTTGTACTAATCAGGAGCATAAAATATATGATTCTACAGATATTGTACATGCAGTTTGCTGAAAAAAATTGCATTAAAACTGTTCATTTGCGAATTCGTCTGACAGAAATATTAATAAGTGTCCATAGAGTTTTTGTTTTCATTGGTTACTTCTTCCGTTTTTTTCTCTCATTTTGTCTTTGAAAATGTTTTCCAGGGTTTTTTTTTTTGTCAGTTTTTGTGGACAAAATTAACACTACACTTAGACAGCTGATGGTAAGCAGTGTAATCACACCACTGAGACTGGAACTTACTTTCTTTAACATGTTAAATGTAGCTTAAGTTAAAGGTTTGCTATGCCTACATTACTACAAAGAAACCAAAACAGTCTTTGCCTTTACTAACAGTGTAGTGAACCCTCACATGAGCCATCTCTATTGAAAAGCCATGGAGGAGCCTGCACTCTCTTTTCATCCAGTTAAGAATGAAATACTCGAGATGAATCCTCCATTAGATGCTAAGAAATATAAGCTCCTCATTTCCTGAATGATGTTGATGTTGATCGATTCATGCATTTAAATGGCATTGCTTTCCTGGCCCAACTGGAATAGCTGTTGTTGATTCTACTCTCAGTGCCTAGGAGAAGTCTACAGTAATCGGGTTAGATAATGGCAGGAGGCCAGCGATTTGCCCAGTATTGTGTTCCTCCTGCAGCAAACTGAAAAGATGGTAGTAGCTCATAATAGGTTTGAGCTTGAGATTCATGAGAGAGGAAGATAGTAATTGGATTATTGTAGAAGTGAGAGAATCTGCAGTGGGGGGATTAATGAAAGGATGTAAGGAACAGGGGCGGGAGGTTGCCTTGTTGACTTGGTGTCTTATTCTTGTCACCTTTTTGGAAGAGAAGGCAGGAAATCCTTTAGCTAATTCAGCAAATCCTGGACTTTTGGAAATTGTCCCTTGCTGCTGGAGTATGATAGTATCTGTACTGTGCAGTCCTCAGTTGGAGCAGTTTATCTTTCACTCAAGCTAAATAGCTTTTCTTTTGCTTAATTTGAGCTCAGCTTTGCAAAAGATCAGGATGTTAAGACCTGTCCTGTTCTTTAGGAACATCCTTTGTGCTGATGACAAGGGGAACTCAGTGAGTCTGTTCACAGAAAGCAAAGCCCACTATCAGTTCTTTTAACCCAGCTGATAGGGGACATTAGATCCCCATTTTGCAGTTTCATCACCGTTTAATACAGGATGTGCAAACCCCCCACTTTAATTTGCAGGATATGCTCTTGTCAGTCCCTCTTCAGATAACAAGCCTGGCAGGCAAGAGCAGAAGGAATCTACGCTGATATGTTCTTAGAGATATTTGTGAGTAACACAAGCAGAGACAGAGTCCAGGAAGAGGGGGCTGTGAAGAAAGACACAGGAAAATGTCTCTATTGTCTTCTTCAGGGCATTATTTTATCTTACTGGAAGCTGAACAGTACAGTATTCAAATCATCATCATCATCTTTATTTATATAGCACATTTAACACAGCCAAAGCTGAGCAAAGTGCTTAACACACAATGAAGATTTGAGGTAGTTGAGTGTTTCCTCGTTAAGCAACTAAACTAGTACAACTACTTTACAAATATATCACAGATGTATAAAACCTGAAAATATGATGTATTTTTTTTAGTTTTAGTTTATATGACCCAAATCTCTATACAGGTACTATATCCTGTAAATTCAACATGAATGCTCTGCTCACTTACTTAGTTGCTGACTGATTACTAATTTAACATTAGATCACTTTATCACACCACAAACTGCAGCTGTACTGGTTTTGTTTAATATTCTTCCTCTCTTCCTCTGGTGTTCTTTCTTTCTCTTTCCTTTCTGTCTCTGTCCTGCAAAACAGCGGAGCCAATCCCACTACTCTCCAGGGAGCCATCTAGCTGTATGTACACGCGGTCACAGAACCAACAGTGTATATTTGTTTGTGGTTTAACACAGTGTAGATAACCAGGTGAATTTTTTAATCCACAGTGCCAGTACTGTAAGATCAAACCCAAATACATTGTTATTGTTATGTAAGATGATCAAGTCAGATGATCACATGAATTTGTGTGGAATAACGTCACCATAAAAGTAGATGTTATATGTATGTAATCGCAGACTTACTCCCCAAAATCATGACTGTGACCTTGGATTCTTCAGTGGTAGCTACTGCCATGGTGCAGGTCAAACATGGGCAGAGATACTGTATGTTTTAGCATTAATTAATAAAACTGACATAAATAAAAATAAGACTTTCAAGACTCCCTATGGAACATTCTGTTGTCCTTCTCCTTTGGGTTTGGCAACCCACAGTGCTTCTTTACAAGCACATAAAAAAACCAACCTCTTTAATAAGCAGTTATATTGATCAAAGTACATTGTTAGGTGTCAGTCATTCCATCAGACATCAGGGAATTAAGCTAATTTTCTGAACATGTATAAATAAGGGGAGTGTCTGGAACACCAGGTCCTTTACTCTTTAACAGACAGTGAACATGTTGTTAGGTCAGAGCTGTAGGTACAGGCAGTGCAGGTGTTCCCACTGCTGCAGCGTTACTGTAAAGCAACAAGCATTCCCTTTTCTAAAGCCTGATGCATACCCAGATCTTTTTGTTTACAGTCTAATGCCTTTTCTTTTATCAGTACCTTTAATAGAGTCAATAAAATTCTTCTGTTTTAATGTGTAATGTCTGCGTTACATATTAATGTCTGTCAATAATGTCTACATTTGTGAAAACAGACTTTTCTCACAGCAACTTAGTAAAAAGGAGATACATTAAAAAAACAGGTGCAGTCACAGTGTGATGGAGCTACATGAAAGCTACAAGTCTTCTCTCTTCCTCCTTTCACAGTCTGTCCCTGATGCCAGCCTTATGAAGCGCTCAGCCTCCACTGTGGCCCCACAGTGCCCCCAGGAGGTCAGTGTGAGAGACTACACCTTGGATAAACCCAGCCAGGAACGACCACACCACCACCACCACCACCACCACCGCTGCCATCACCGCAGAGACAGAGAGAAGAGGCAGAGGTCTCTGGACACACCTCTGGGTGGACAACCCCCCAGCTCTACTGGTTAGTCAGCACTTCTTCACACAAACGGTCTAGAGAGCACAGTGGACAAACATACCCTGAATCCCATTATGCATTTTTGGTTTGTTTTTTTTTATATTTCAAGCAAAACTTAGGTACTGTCTGATCATGTACAGTGCAAATGAAGACTGTTGCTCAGCTTAAGACCTGAAATAAGATGATATAGATGTTTAGACATGATACAATCATCCACACTTATAAAGGAATAGTTGAACATCTAAGGAAATTCATCTACATACATGGTGGAGAGTGGAGCACTGTACTTTTTTTGCTTAAACACAGTCACAAATTTATGGAGTATTTTGGAGAGCCATCCATCCATTATCTGTACCA